AGTGGGGGGTAGTCTTATACAGCGAATATAGGCCTAAACCTATGTTTTAACTGTAAAATTAGGGGGTCGTCTTATACGCCAGAAAAATATGGTAGTTATTGAAAAAATCTAATATAATCTCAGATAAAGAAATATATAATTTTATATATGTAATTATATCAACTATATAAAATTATGCAGAGTATATGCAAGGATTGGAAGATAAAATGATTGTGTTGGTACAAATGTGTGCCCTCTCCTTCTGAAAAAGTATTAATTATGGCCAGGACCGGTTTGGCTCAATGGATAGTGTCAGAGTGTCGGCTTGGGAACTGAAGGTTCCCGGGTTTGATTCCGGTCAAGGGCATGTACCTTGGTTGCGAGCATATCCCCAGTAGGGGGTGTGCAAGAGGCAGCTGATCGATGACTCTCTCTCATCGATGTTTCTAACTCCCTATCTCTTTCCCTTCCTCTCTGTATAAAATCAATAAAATATATTTTTTTAAAAAAGTATTAATTATGATATTCCTGTTGTTTCTTTGTTTGTTTTTAATGGAGATAAATCAATCATACATTTCCTTTAGTTAAAACAATTATTTTTGTTCTGTGGTCCAGCTATATTTTATGAAACTTTTGTCAAGTAGCTGTGGCTTAGTATTTGTCTTTCCAATGACTTCTTTTTTACTTTTAGATTCTATTTATTTCTCCTCTCCCCTTTTCCGCATGTTGCACCTCAGACTGTTCATTCAACCTCCTAATCCTCTTTCCCTAAAGATTGTCACTTATAGGATAAACACAAGTGGATTTAAAACATTATTCCCCTGCCAGGCCAGAGTTGCTCACCCCAAATTCTATAATTTCCACCTACGTCTAAACAGGAAGATAAACCTTGAGAATAAGCAAAGGTACTTGTTTTAAATACAAAGGGCAGTCATTAAAACCATTTGGAAGACAATCCTAGGCATTTAATTTTCTCTTCCTGAAAATATTTAAAAGGTGGTCATCCAAACATCTTGTAGAGTTTAGAAGTAGAAAGAAAGAAGACCTAACAGGATAATCTTTTTATCTTCAAGACTACATTTTTTAAGAAAAAGTTGGGACACAAAATCTGACTGGGGAACAAAATCTATAAAAATTCACAGGAAATCCATGCTATCTGGGTAGCATAGCTTTGTGAATTAAGTTTAAAACTTTTAATAATTCAGAATATCAGTTAAAATATTACTAAGCAGAGTTTTTAAAATATATGTTAAATGCTGCTTTGGACTGCTTTTTAATATTTTCCACTGTCAGCTACAGAATAGCTATAAAAACGTTCCTAGTAGATTGATTACAGAGTTCTCCTAGATGCTATAGTAAAATATACTTTAAATGAAATGAATTTGAATTATATTCATTCTTAAAGCTATCAAATGAATAAAACTGATTTGATTTGCCTGGTATTTTTCTTTTTAAATAAATTTATATTGACCACACAAGTTATATTTAATATTATTTCTTTCAAGAAAAAGCTAAATATAATTTTGAAAGAACAGTGGTATTTGAAAAATACACAGAGCAACACTATGGATCATTGAAAATAACCATCACTATGAAAACTTAATGACAATCTGAGTGCATGTGCAGCATCAGCTGAGTTTAAAGCAATACACTTTGCACTTTGAAATGGGTTTAAAACCTTCTTTGGCTTTTGTTATTTATTAATTAGCAGAAAAGCCTCACAACATCAGGAGGCTGATAGATTAAGTTTCCATTTGGCAGACTGAGAACAATTTAGAGCGAAGGAATATTTATCTTTTAAATTGTGTGACGTGATTGCGTTTCTCTCATTTCCTATTAGTCATAGTTAAAACTTTCGGGCAAGGAAAATATTGAAACCTGTGAAAGAAGTTCCTTTGTAAGCATTTACAAAATCATGGAGTGTTCTGACCTGAGAATTTAACTGACTCTGCAGCTTTCCTACATTCAAATCATCCTCCATTTCCTTCAGGATAGGTGACTATAGTATTGTGGTGTTGTTTAAATTGTAAAACTGGTTTTGTTCATTGATATGCTTTGCTGAACACCAGTTTACCTCATGTTTTACAAGAAGAAATGTTGGTGTAGTAACAAACATTTAATTCCAGTGACTTCTAGAACTGCAGTGTTCCTGTCTAATGAACCTGAATAACTTGGATTAGAGTGACAGAGAGTTAGACTGGACACAAGGGTCTCCTGGATTAAGTTTCTACATTGGCTATGACCTACGGTATAACTTGGGAAAATTCTCTTAGCTTTGATTTTACATCAGTCAAAAGAAGTGGTGTGACCATTCCTGTAGATAATCTCTTAGGTCCTTCCAGGTTTTGACAGCTATAATTCTAGCTTTTGTTTCAATAGTTTGTAATGAGTTTATTTTCCATTTCCATGATTGCATGAAGGAATGCCTCCCACATATTTCCTCTCATCAAATAAATGTACTAACAAAGCTACCACTTTATTCTCAAAAGGGTAGCTTCCTGTTAATATGTTTTTGTTCTTATTGTTGAATCATGAAGATTTCACTGAGAGAATATGATTAAATGTTTGTAAAAATTTTGCTTCAATCTTGTTCTATCTGGCATTAAAAATGAACCTTTAGTTCTTTCTCATGGCACCCAACATTCCATCAGGATCCCACAGAGATTATGTGCTGTAGTGTTTACTGTCTGCCTAATGAATTTGACCTGTCTTTTAAAACAAAGAGTCAGACAAATTAAAACGTTTTTGTTTTCTATTAAAATATGTGAATATTATTAGAGCATTCACAGCATAAGAGGCAAAGCCCAGTTTTTTTGTGCTTTTAACCACAATATATTTGCAAAACTCACAAAGCAAGAGGATTGATAAATAAAAATGCTGACACTAAAAAACAAAACAAAAGCAAAACTTCTTTACAATCTTAGAGCATTTGCAGCAGCATCTGTACTGATAGGTCTACAGTAATATATTTTGTACTTTTTTGAGCAAGTTTTAAGCATTCTTTGACTTTTCAACTTTATTATTCAACAGGAATATAAGGAAAGCCTTATAATAATGCCAAGACGTAGCTAGCTTAATGTATGTCCCATTAGTAGATGGAAAACCTGAGAAAAAGCTATTATTGTGTAATTACTATAACACCATACAATAGGTCAGGCTTAGTCAAACTAGAAATATACATATATATTCTGTTTTAAAATTCACGTTTCTCTTTCTTAAGTTTTTTTTGTGGACTTTTTGGATTTATTCCTCTCATTTGTGTCAAAATGTCATTGAATTGAATTGAATATACAATTATTTAAATCAGTATATATAGTTTCACAAACACATATGCAAAAAGTTATCACAGTCTTCTGAAATATAAATATAGTTACACAACAGCATATATCCATTGCAGCAGAACTTACATAGTAGAAAATAATTCTTTCTATAGGCAGATTTGTTTTCCTGTTTCTACCAAAGGCTGTGTTTAGCATTAATATTAAAAAAGTATGAATATGCTAAATATTCTCCAGGAAGCTCTGGGTGTTTCTCTACGTATAGAAAGAAGTGTAAAGATTTCAGTTTTCACTTTGCTTTTTCTATTGATATTTAGTTATTAGTAGTCATCAACTCAGAAACTTGGTGTCAGTTTCCTTTTAAAAGAAAAGCATCTATGGATAATCCTTTTCTGTTCATGATATATCTTAATATCAAAGCATAAATAACTATGAAATTTTTTTCAGTTAGAAGCACCTTGTATACATATATTACATATAAACACATACACATAAATTAACAAAACTTTCAGTCATTAAAGAAACAGAGAGGCTAAATTTTCCCCTAATAAATCAGAGCAGCACATGTAGCACTTAAATTCTTGTATCGAGGCCTAAAAATGAATGTAGCTACATCACTGTAGTCATGACCCAGAAGCCAGGTGGCTATGCATCCTATATTTTGAACGATGTCTGCTTGTAGACAGAGTTTAAAATATATTAGATATAAAGAGCATTTTTGAAAATCTAGCATCACCGAATTTTTTACAATGTGATTTAAAGTATTCCGAAATTGATTACATGACTTTAAAGATGCAAGGGACAGGTTTTTAAAAGTATATTGTTTTATTGAGCCCAAAGCACACTAATTCATAGCAGTCCATATCATTGGCCTACTGTGTGCAGATACTGTTCCGAGAGTGTTCTTTACTCAGAGTAGTGCATTTAATTCTCATAATAATCATATGATTAGGCACCATTTTTACTCCCACCATAAAGATGAGAGTACTAATGCACAGTGACGTTAAGAAACCTATATAATGAAAAACAGCTCATAGGAGGCACAGCCAATAGTCAAGCTCAGGCAGCCTAATTCCAAAGCCTGTGCTCTCCTCCATTAGATTTTGGGCTGATTTAAGCCTCAGAGTCATTTACTCATTTGACAGCTTAGGTTCATTTATCTTAAAACTCAGAGAAGTATTCCCTTCTATTATAGCGAACATTTTTATAGTGCATGATATATATACCAGGCACTGTCCTAAGGGCTTCGCACAAATCAACTCTCTCAACTTGACATGCTGATGGACATATGACTTATCCTATGGCTGAAGACTTATAAGAGCATCAGTTACAATATATTGATGTAGATATTTCTAAATAAATAAGGGGATAGTTCATTCCATAAAAAATCTGGAGTGTTTATCCTATTATGAATAATTTGAAACCAATTCTGCTAGCCTAGGTTGCATCAGTTCTTTTTATCTTCCTGTATTGATGGGAAAATGTTCCCAAGAGTCAATTTTATTCTCCTTTCTGGCCTAATATTGACTGGTGATGCTGTTAAAAAATAAATCAGAATTGCTTATTAACAATACAATATGCATTCCTGAAGTTAGTGTTTTTGTCTTTAAAATATGCATTCCTGAAGTTAGTGTTTTGTCTTTAACAGCAAGTTCAGATACCTTTTAACATTTTTTAAATGACAACTCTTGTGGCTAATGATAATTCTCTATAGTAATTTATAAACCTAGGTTACAGTTCAAGTTATATTGCAAATCCCGCTTCTCCATTCTGGCCATTGAGAATCCAATCATCAGTGCCAGAATATAGAAGCCCTGAGTCCTTAGGGAAGGCTGTTGTTTGACTTGCTTTGCTAGAAGAATCCCAAGTCCTCCAGGTGTTACATGAGGTAAGATTTTGGCGGCCCTGGCAGCTCTTCATATCCGGTAGAAAATGATGGTCCTCATTTTCCATTGAGGAAAACCATTTATAAGTATTCATCTTGTTAAAAAGTAACATAGTTTCCCTTGTGAGCAAAGAATCAGTGCTACCTTCATTTGCTGTGTCTTCTTCCCTTAGAGCAGAGAGTACAGTCACAGAGGATTGGTCTGAGACCTCCAGCAAAGGCACTGATCCAAACCACGTGAATACAAATAATATACAATATGCAGGAGTTTCAGCTTTGTGTGCCATGGATGTAATTCAAGGACAATTCACACTAGATACCAGTCTTTGAGGCAATCCAGTTTCGATACTGAGTCACTCTCGTGTAGACCCCAGGTTTTTTAGGAAGAGCACATGATTGTCCCCAACTTACTATACCAATAAGGTACCAGATGTCATGATTATCATAAACCAGAGGCCCACCAGAATCACCCTGGAGAAAAAAAACAAAAGCATATTTAAAATTGTTAACTCTAATTGAGTAGGAAGATCATTACAACATCTCTTTTCTATGGGGGGGGGGGGAGGAGAGAAAATTGGTAGAAAGAAAATGCTAAACTTTGAAGTACATTGTTTTCTAGAAAGACTAACATTCATATGGATGGATACATTATTTCTGGTTCAGCATCCTTGGATTTTTTTTTCTAGTTTGATTAGATATTTTATACATGTTTAGTAAGCATGTGCATAAAATATTTAATAAAAGGTTAGTATTTATGCATAGATAAAGGATAAGAGAAGTTGGAATGGCTTGTTTAACAGATTGAAAGGTGATGCCATTCACAGAGGTACAAAGCATAGGAAAAGATCAAATGGAGAGGGGAATAAGAGCAGAATCAAGTGCAACATTTTAAATAAGATGCCTTTGAAATATCCATGTGAAGTAGAATCTACAGGGTTGGGCAAGAGTAGGTACTATTTAAGTATCAACTTTCATTGGTCACTGGTTAAATTACCAGCCATTATTACCTAAAAGATAAATCATAAATAAGGATATAAATAATAACAAAAAAATAATAAGACAAACAATATAAATAAATAATAGATAATAATACAAGAATAAACTCTCAAGTACTCACAACTACCAACCTACTTTTTTGGCCCACCCTTGTGTAAGTCTGGAGATAAAAATGGAAGTTGAGGAAATATATGAGTCTGGAGATCAAAGGGGAGGTTGGGGACCTAAAAGTGTTAAAAGATGATAATGAAGCTATGGTGGAAAAATAAATAGATCTTCTACAGAGAAAGTATAGTGTAAAAAGAGGAATAGGTATAAAATAGACCAAAATTTAATGTCTAAAGGATATAGAGAAGGAACAGACAGAAATGTAGGATGAAAATCATTTCAAGCCAAGGGAAGACATTATGTCAGAAAAGAGGGATTAGTTAGCAGTGTTAAATGTTGTTGAGAGGTTTAAGAAGAAAAGTCATTAGTTGGAGGTCATTGTTTCATCATTGAAAACCTCAAGAAGAGCTATTTTTCATGAAGTGATAGAACATAAACTATATAGAAATTGTTTGAGAAATTAGACAATGCACATAGTTTCCCAAATATTTGATGGTAAAGAGAAGATGGGGTATATAATGAGCCAAGAAAGAGTTGTTTGCTTATTTGTTTTCCTAACTTGAGAGAACTGAATGAGGAAGAATCTAATGACAAAAGAAATGTGGACTATGAAAAGAGTGAGAAGACATAATAGCTAGTGAAAACTTTTCCAAAATGCCAATAAGAGAAGCCTGAGGAGAGAAGTAATCAGCCTTAGAGAAGAGGCAGCTCCTCAGATGTGGTCTAAACTGAAGGCGGATAAAATGGGTTCAGAAGAAGGCAGGTGTGCATGTCTGGTGCCGGGAAGATGGAAAAAGTCCCCTCTTAAGATTATTATTTTTTCTGAAAATTTGGAAACAAAATCATCAGTTCAGAATAAAGGGATCTATCTATCTATCTATCTATCTATCTATCTATCTATCTATCTATCTATCAAACCCTAATATGCAAATAGACCAAATGACGGAACAACCAAACAACTGAACAACTGGTCAGTATGATGTGTGCTGACCACCAGGGGGTGTGCATGGAACATGGCAAGCATCATCATGGCAGGATGGTGGAGTAGGAGAGTAGGGGTGTCAGACCAAGGCAAGGCACCGATTGCCTCTGGTGGTTACTGAAAATTCTTTGCTCCTGCCCAGTGCTCACAAATGCTGCTAGCTCCAATCACCCATGAGGGCTTCTTCCTGTCCCCCTGCTCCTGAGGAATGATTGGGGCAGCACCTGCCATTCACACCCACTGTTGGCACTGGCCCCAATCACTCCACACTGTCATCGGGTACAAGTAGGGCTGGCACCATCAGCACATAGGAGCAATGGCGGGAGTGGGGCATTAGGCAGACAGGGGACCAGGAGCTGTGGAGGGAGGGGCCAGGTGGGGGCACAGAAGATGGGCCAAGACCTGCCCCTGTGCCTCCCACGGCCTCACGGCCACAGTTCCTTTCAAGATGCATAAATTCATGTACTAGGCCCCTAGCCTATAATAATAAAAGCATAATATGATACTTAGACCAGACAGCTGAACTACCTTCTGGATTTCCATTCAGACAAAACCTCAGTGGCGGGGGCTGAGGAAGAGGAGGTTAGGGGTGATCAGGTAAGCAGGCATTCCCCTAACTGCTTGCCTGCTTACCTGATCACCCCTAACCTCCTCTTCCTCAGGCAGGCAGGCAGGCAGGCAGAGTGTTAGGGGCGATCAGGTAGGCAGGCGAGCAGTTAGGGGTGATTAGGTAGGCAGGCAGAGTGGTTAGAAGTGATCAGGCAGGCAGGTAAGCAGTTAGGGGGGATCAGACAGGCAGGCGAGTGGTTAGGGATGATAAGACCAGCAGGCAGGGAGGTTAGGGGCGATCAGGCTGGCAGGCAAAGTGGTTAGGGGTGATCAGGTAGACAGGCAGGTGAGCATTTAGAAGCCAGCGGTTCCAGATTGTGAGAGGGATGTCTGACTTCCAGTTTAGGCCTGATCCCAAAAGGATCCCTGCAGGATTGTGCCTAAACCAGCAGTCAGACATCCCCCAAGGGGTCCTGGATTGCACAAGGATGCAGGCCAGGCTGAGGGGACCTGCCCCCCCATGTATGAATTTTATGCACTGGGCCTCTAGTTTATAATATAATTATAGTACTGGTTCAATATCATATTAAGTAAAATAATGTATAAAAAGTGCTAAGCATTTTGGTTGGCACGCAGTAAACATTCAATATCATAATGTTTATTATTGTGATTATTAAATAAACTGACTCCTTAGTGAAATAAATGCATTTTTTTTAAATCTCAAGTGAAATATATGACAAATTTAGAAATAGTTAATAGAAACTTTTCTTTTAATGTTTTGACCTGACTTTGGACTTACTTTACATGCATCTACTTTTCCTTCCATGAATCCAGCACATAACATTCCTGAAGTGATCATACCATCATATACATCCTTTCTGTTACATACATTACTGCTTATGGTTTCCACCCTGGCTTGCCGAAGTTTATTTTGTGTGGGTCCTATTACACAAATAAACAAACAAACAAACAAAAAACACACTCTTAAATACAGTTGTATCTAAGACATGGAAGACAAAGCCCTACGAGCAAAAGCATAATATTATTTTATTAATATTAATTATTGCCTAATTTTATTTTGTTTCATAAATGTCTACATTCAAAGGACCATAAACATATACAATACAAAATTATATCCTAATAGTTAATAGTGCATAAGCTATTGGCACCCTTACAACCACATGCAATACTATATATATATATATATATACATATATATATATATATAAACACATATACACACACACACACACATACTCACACACACTATCTTATCACAATCAACTCTGTCAAAAAAATAAACAAAAGTCCGGTTAATATATATTCACATTTTTCTCCTAGTTTCTTCAGGATATCTTTGATATAACTTCAAACAGTTCTTATTTTCCACTTTAAAATATTTAATTAATCTATTTTTTAAATATATTTTATTGATTTCAGAGAGGAAGGGAGAGGGAGAGAGAGATAGAAACATCAATGATAAGAGAGAACCTTTGATTGGTTGCTTCCCATATGCCCTCCCAACCAGGAATTGAACCTGCAACCCTGTGCACATGCCCTGAACCTGACCAGGAATTGAACCATGGCTTCCTGGTTTATAGGTCAATACTAAATCACATAGCCACTAGCCTGGCATAATTATTTTTTCTCTTTAAAGTGGAAAATTTTAGAATTGATATTTTTTAAACCTCATAAGAAGTGGGATACAGGGGGAAAAATGCAGATTCTATTAACTAACCAAAATAAAAATTCACAAAGCACTTTTATATTTATTAATATTATAAATCCTCATTAACACAAGGAAGAATTTAGACCAAAAAGAAAAGACAAAGATTGTGGTGTGAAGTATATGCTAATTAGCAGTGTTTACATATGGAAAATATACAATTTAAAATCGTTTACTCGCTTGTACTCCCATAAAAGTTTGTCTCATTTTATAGCACATAAAATACTCTGTTCTTTTCTTCCATATTAGCTTCTCCCCTTTCTTACCACTGCTTCAATTAATTGTGAACTCCTCAAAGATAAGGACCTTTTACTTTTTAACCCACAGCCACCCTGATCTCCTTGGAATCATGTACATTGGAAGCATCAATATTATTTATAGGAAAAATCTAAAGAGAATTCCCTATGCCATCTTGTTAGAGCTTAAGACATACTACTACTGGTAAATTATTTTGAATTACTCACCATCATCTACTATGGATCCAAACCCTGTGACAAATACACTTGTTTTAGGTGGCAACTTTATAGATGAATCTGGGAGGCAAACTCTCTGGACTACATTTGAAAACTCAACTCGGGTGGTAAGCTGAGCCAAGGCAATGTCATTTTCATTTGTTTCTTTATGATAATTTTCATGAAGGATGATTTTCCCCACATTTCGTTCCACTGCGGGTGGCTTAATAGTTGTACCAAAAGTAGCAATCCATTGATGTGGGTCTCTATTTCTGTAAAACATTAAAGGATAAAATTTATGACACTTAATATTATATATATTCATATATATATATATATATATATATATATATATCTTTATAGTATTTCTCACCAATAATTGGGATTATGCTCCTGAAAATCCCTAAGGTAAGAGAATTTGCAATTGAAAGCCTTATTGAAAAAAAAGAGGCTAAACAAGCTGATGCTGTGAGAGTATGAAAGCCCTTAAAATATTTTACCTCCTCTAAAATTAAAAGAGCCCAGCAACTAAATGGAATATTCATGCTTCATTAATAGTAATGGGTACCATACAATTAATTTCTGATCTTTACTTTTTTTAATTAAAAATTCATTATATCCTCAGTCTTCTATAATTTCAGTGAAATGTATGGATATTAATTTTTGTTTTGGGTATTATACATGCTCAGAGGCATCTTCCCTCTGTCTCAGATACCCCATCCATTCTTATGACTCATTCTGCTCTTGTTTACCAGGTCTTGCTGTTTTCCTTGAAACAAAGTGTAATTTGTCTCTTATATATACAAACTCTTGTATGTATCCAGGATTGTTTTTCCTCCTATGCCCAAACCCTGTCTGAATATTTAAGGACTCAGCAGCCCTGACTCAAAGTCATGCTGTGAGAGCTCTCACCACCCTTTGATCTGGCCTGGTCAGTCCCTCTTACCACTTTTGAGGTTCTCTCTTCCGGTAGATGCTTTTCTCTCCCTCAGTTACATCACAAACAACTTCTATGTAATACTGCCATCTCTTTAACCTCCCATTCTTCCCTAAAACCCAGTTCCCTCTTTTTCTAATTATCCCCATCAAGAACAACTATATAAGAAATATATAGAAACTTGAAATTCTCTTTGTAGAGGAAAATTGTATATAAGGAAATTACATAGAGGAGAATTCAAAAAGGGGATTTCCTTGTACATGCGGGATTACTGGGTTGGTGAATCATAAATGTTTCAGTGGAATGAAAACCTGAAAGATTAGTGGTTTTCAAAGTATGAGGCACTGCCCCAGGGATAAGCAGGCAGAGCCCAAGGGTGGGGACTGGGAGACACAGAGGGCTCCTTTCTAAGCTGTTTTACTTATTTATATTTTAAAGGAAGTGTTTATTCAAAGCTGAGGGACGAAGAATTATTTGAAAAGTAGAATTCTGGGAGATATGAGACATATGTGATTTCAGTCTCAAGGAGCTTGTAAACTAATTGGTTAGATTAAAAGAAAAACAAGTACCCATCTCTTCATGCACTGTCAACCAAAAAAGAAGTTGATGTAATAGGCCCTGTTTAACACGCTGTGGATAAGGACACTGAGCCTCAAGTTAAATGGCTTATCCAGGGGAGGGACATAGCCAGCTGCCGAGAGGAGAAAGAGAGAGAGGGAGGGAGAGGGAGGAGAGAGAGAGAGAGAGAGAGAGAGAGAGAGAGAGAGAGAGAGAGAGAGAGAGAGAGAGAGAGAGTGAGTGAGTCCAGGTCTCATGCCATCCTATCAAAACCTTTTCTCCACCCACACTATTTCACAAAGACGGAGCTCCTTTTTTATAGGCATAAAAGTACTGACATTTATCTTTAATATGATTTTAAAATAATACACTGTTTCGGAGGGTGGGGTGAGTGTGGAACATAAAATTTAAAAACACTTCAGATAAGGAACCCTGTGGTTTTCCTTCACAACAGTATATGTCATTGTGCAATTACATGAAATTAGTATCACTCCCCAAATTGAACCCTTTTCAGGATCATTACATTTCCCAACTCTTTTAGATTATTACCAGAATAAAATATGCCATCATTCATATGTTAGGAAATCCTTCCTATGAGTCTATACCTATGGTCACTTGTCACATTTCTGTTTCCATTTATTTAAAAATTCCTTGAAAGTGGCATCTAAACTCACTGAATCCAGTGCTCACCAGTTATTTCTATTTTACCAAACTTAATGGACAATTCCCAGTTGGGTCTTTTAGCACACAGCATCTACACTGGACCTGCCGAAACATGGATCTCTATCATTATAGCTTGTATTCTTCATTAAAAATCAATAAGTTGACATCTGGATTTATTTTCAATGTATATAAATTATAGAGATCAATTATAAACAAAAATAAATGATATCCCCCAAAACAAGTATAAAGATTGGTGCACTATGTGAACAAAAAATCAGAAAGCCTTAAAAAATTAGTGACACTCAAGTTCACCTAAGACATGGTGCTAGTTATTTTGTAAATATAAATGAGTCCCTTTTCTCTTCTCTCATGAGAGAATGACAGACAGTTACCTTAAGTTCATTAGGTCATTCCTATTACGCATCTACCCTATTTTTAAAAGAGGTGTAGGTACCTTGGAACCCTTTGGGTGTTATCCTTTGAAGGATGGTCAAAAGCCTCCTAGACTCACCAAAGATAGTTTTCTTGAAAGGATGTGTGAACAGTGCCACTGGCCAGGGCTTTACTCAGAGCTTTTATCTTTTGAGAGTTTAAAAGGGAAAATCTTTGTTCCCTGTTGGTGAAAATTCAGGGAGGAAAGAAGGTGTGTCCCGGGTCACCTGGGGATATAGTGGGCCTGTGATTATCTGTTACATGAACTGCCGTAGCTACACTTTAAGAGCTACATCTGTGAAAGGTCAAGCAGACTGTTCCTGATGGGCCCTATAAGGCCAGTCTTCCATACTGTGAAGGCAGAGAGACAGGATGGCAGGACTCTCCCATCTTCCATACACCTCTCTGGTCCACACCATTCACAGGAGTTCTTAAGTGATGCCGTTCAAAGGGGAGCTTCAAGAGTGACACCTCTCATTTGATCTTATTTATAAAGTGAGAGTCGGATAGAAGAATTAATTGGGGAAAAACACACAGAAATAGTTGAATTTTCTCCTTGCATATATAAAAAAGCTTAATCATGTTACATGTATAATAATCAGTCTTTACACTAAAATAACTTATGATGTAGTAGGAAAGATAATACTACTAATGTCATAATAATACAGGAAAAGTCATGGAGAGAACCACAAGAGTGATATAAACTGAATATCATGGATATTTAGATCAGGGAGAGGAAATGAACATAATCAGGGCATAGAGGAAATGAACATAATCAGGGCATAGAGCAAGCATCATTATGCCCTGATTATGTTCATTTCCTTGCCCTGATCTAAATATCTATGATATTCAGTTTATATCACTCTTGTGGTTCTCTCCATGACTTTTCCTGTATTATCAGGGGATCAAGGAGGGTCCATCCACAATAGAGCAGAAGATAAACTGGTAAGATTAGACTCTTTCTAAGCACTGAATCCATAGATGCCAACCGGTAACACAGTAAAGGAGGCCCACAACAGGCCTGGGAACTTACTTGCGGAAGCAGTGAGCAGCTGTGAGCAGCCACGTGTTACTGATGAGGCTGGCTCCACACTGATGGCCTGCCCCTTTGAGCTGGAGGCTGGCCTGCCATGGCCATTCCCCTTCCATAGCTGTTTCCCTTCCTTGGACAATCCTTTCCGTAGAAGTGTATGCTGGTAACGGCATGTTTGAAGATGTCATCCTAATTCCACAGCCTGTCACAGAAATATACATTAGCTTGTTTTCATGAAAGCAGATGGGGGGGTGAAGGGGCACACACGTATCCCAACTTGCATTGGGTGCTGGTGATTGGACAAGCCATTGTACCTGCCACTCTTTAGCCCATTTCTAACACTCAGTTTCTGAGGTTATTGGTAGGGGTTCTACTGAGGTTCAAAAGAAATATTTACTAATATTTCAAGGCATCCAATCCAGGATCAACTTCTGTCTCTCTACATAAACTATACATTGTATAGATAAATAAATAGGTAGATAATTTATTGAGCATCAACAATACAAGTAATTTTATTAACCAGTGTCATCCCAATAAATTCAGTTAAAAACTAAAAAAAGAATGTATAGATCTTCTCCTAAATGTTTTAGATACATTTACAACAAAAACTTCTGATGAGAAACTCAGTCTCAGAGAAAGAACATAAATTGCTGGAATTCATCCAATTGGTAGTGATCATTAGATATAAAATCAAAGAGGATCCACATTAAAGTTTGTATTTTTTCTCCTAAGAGAGAGGCCAATAATATAAGTCATGATTTTCCCTTGACATGAATCTATATTTTGTCTTTGCAAAACCCAGAATTTAAACAATAATGCCTTTTTTTAGTTTTCTAAAAATTGAAAGGCTACTTTGTAAATTAAGTTTATTGGGCTAACACTGGCTAATAACATTATATAAATTTCAAGTGTACAATTCTATAATACATCTGAATATTGCATTGTGTGCTCACCACCCAAAGTCTCGTCTCCTTCTGTCACCATAAATATGACCCGCTTTATCCTGTTCATCCTCCCCCACCCTCTTTTCCTGATAACTGCCTTTCTATTGTCTGTGTCTATGAATTTGTTTGTTTAAGTTGTTAATTTGTGGCTTTCTGGTTTATTATACTCCACATATGAGTGAAATCATATAGTTCTTGTCCCTTTTCTTTTATCTTTAATTGAATTTATTGGGGGAGACATTGGTTGATAAAATTATATAGTTTTCAGGTATACAATTCTATAATATACCATCTATATATTGTAGTATGTGTTTACCACATCAAATAAAGTTCCTTCATTCATCACCATTACTTCCCTTTATCTTTTTCTATTTACCTCCACTCCCTTTCCCCTCTGGTAATTACCATGCTGTTGTCTGTGCCTATAAGTTTCTGTATTTATTTATTTATTTATTTATTTATTTATTTATTTATTTATCCCTTCATCTTTTTCACCAACCCTGCAACATCCACCCCCACCCCCTTCCACAAACAACAGCTGTCAATCTTTTTCTCTATAAATCTATTTCTCTTTGGTTTTTTAGTTTTTTTGTTCATTAGATTCTAAATATGAGAAACTCATATGGTTTTTGTTTTCTCTGACTGGCTGATTTTATTTAGCATCATGCTCTCCACCCAAGCTGCCAGAAAGATTAAGATTTCCTTGTTTTTTTATAGCTGCATTGTATTCCATGGTGTAAATGTACCATAGCATTTTTATCCATCATCTACAGATGGACACTTGGATTGCTTCCAAATCTTAAATATTGCAAATAGCACTGCAGAGAACATAATTCATTTGAATTAGTGTTTCAGGTTTCTTCAAATATAATCCCAGAAGTGGAATTGGTGGGTCATAGGCAGTTCCATTTTTTATTTTATTTTTTTATGTAACTCCACACTATTTTTCACAGTGCCTGCACCAATCTGCATTCCCACCAAATTGCACGAGAATTCCCTTTTCTCCACACCCTCACCAACACTTGTTTTTTGTTGATTTATTTATGATAGCCAGTCTGATAGGTGTGAGGTGATATCTAATTGTGGTTATAATTTGCATTTCTCTAATGACTGGTGACAGTAAGCATCTTCTAATGTCTATTGGCTATGTGTATGTCCTCATTGGAAAAATGTCTATTCAGGTCCTATGTCCATTTTTTTTTTTATTAGACTGTGTGTGTGTTGAGTTTTATAAGTTCTTTATAAATTTTGGATAGTAATCCCTTATCAGATGTATCTTTGGCAAATGTGTGCATTGTCTTTTCATTTTGTTGATGATTCAGTTTCCTTTGCTGTGCAAAAACTTTTGAATTTGATGCTGTGACTTGGACTTCCAGTGCTATGTTGAATAAAATGGTGAAAGCAGGCATTCCTGTCTTGTTCTCAATTTTATGGAAAATTCTTGTAAGTTTTTGCCTATTGAATATGATGTTGGCTGTGGGTTTGTCATATTTGGCCTGTATTTTGCGGAGGTAAAGTCCCTTTATTACCTCTTTGCTGAGAGTTTTTATCATAAATGTTTTCAGCATCCATTGAAATGATCATGAGTTTTTTTATCCTTCATTTTGCTTATATGGTGTATCATGTTTTTGATTTGAAGATATTGTATCAACCTTTTATTCCCACTTGATCATGATATATGATCTTTTACATGTATTGCTGGATATTAGTTTGATAATATTTTGTTGAGGATTTTAGCATCCATGTTCATCAAGAATATTGGCCTATAGTTTTCTTTTTTCGTGGTGTCTTTATATGGTTTTGAAATTCAAATAATTTTAAATATGCTGGGTTTGTAAAATGAGTTTAGAAGAGCAGCCAGTGGCAGTGCAGAATGCGTGCATCCCACCCTGCCCTTGGCAACTCAGTACCTGCATATGCAAATCAACCCACCATCTTTATTGGGTTAATTTGCATACTCACTCCTGATTGACTGGTGGGTGTCATGAAGATATGGTCAATTTGCACCTTACTCTTTTATTAGTGGAGATATGTTATAATATGAAAAATACCATGTAATTTTAAAAATTATATTCTGTAAGTCACAAAATTTAAAATTGTATTTGATCTAAATTTATAAACTTAAAAATCTTAAGAATAATAAACAATAATAAAAACTAAGTGTTCAATTTATAAAAACATAAAATGAACAAAAGGCTTGCTATTATTGTAATGATTATTTTGCAATATATATGAATATTAAATCATTACATTGTCCACCTGAAACTAATATGATGTTATGTTAATTATACCTCAATGGAAAAAAAGAACAAACCTCACCAAATTTTACTAACTTTTTATGGCTTTTATTTATTATCTTTACTATGAAAGAGACAATTAATTGTGGGATTTGAACTTACGGCTATTGAGAAGATTCCTCATCTTTTTGCTGTCAATAGCTGAAATACACAAAACATGAATTAGTAAGAGAATATGCTCCTATTATCATGTAATTTTGTTCAAATGGGCACTAGAAGAAATTCTTATTACTCAAAACATGTCTATTTCAAGAAGGCATGAGATTTTTTTATAACCAAGTTATAAATATCCCTCTATTATGATTTAAACCAAAATGTAATTTTAATTTTTTACAAAAAGAGCGTTTTGGTTTTGATTTTGCTGAGAAATTAGAAAGTAAAGTTAGAAAATTAGGAAAGGATGGTAAAGTTCAATGTCTCCGATTGCTTCCTTTAGGAGTTCCAGTATAACTACAGGAAACAATCTCCAACTCCTATAACAGTTGGTATGCACTATAGCAGGCCCTAGTCTACAAAGGGTAGGAATTTACTTAATATAGGTTGATGGTTTTCTCTCACTGAGGGTTCTCCCTCACGGTGAATATGGTAAAAAGTTGTAGCTCAGTGGCAGGCACTAGAGGCATGAAACTCTCTCATATCCAGCCAATTCATGGACCCCACCATGTCTCCCTCACTTTATGCCTCCCTCTGGGATCTTTTTTCCTTCAAAAGTACCTCAGTGTTCATTTAAGTTCAGTCATTCAATTTTTGGTGATTAGGTGTTTGTTTTGTTTTGGCTATTTGAAAAAGAAAAAATAAAGAAGTATTTGAAAAGGTGCTCAGGAATGTTGACTTTCGCAAAAGAAGGATCTGAGTCCCAAACCCTACTAGAGGTTTCCTGGAAGTTTCACTTCTCTCTATTTAATAAGAGATATGAATATGTCAGGAAAAAATGTATGCAATAGAATTTTGGTTATTGAGTATGGTCATAGAATAGTTATTTTGATATTAAAACAACCTGTGTAATAAAAATTCAGTGTACATGACCAAGAAGTCTGAAATTTTTTTAAATTGTAAAATGAGAAACTCTACAGTTTAACTTCTCTTCTATGATAGATATTTTACTTTAGCCTACATGATCATGCATTAAAGGTGATTATATTATCAGAAAATTTAGATTTAGTTTCAAATTGCCATTTACAGTGTCCTTGAAAATACCATGTTTTATTTGATAAAATTAATTGATAATAAAGGTGGATGCCATACTCCTCATTATTTCTAATTACATCTTCTTAAAAATATATTTCTTATTTATTTCAGAGAGGTATGAAGAGGGAGAGATAGAAAATCAATGATGAGAGAGAATCATTGATCGGCTGCCTCCTGCATGCCCCCTACTGAGGACTGAGCCCATAACTCAGGCATGTGCCCTTGACTGGAATCGAACCTGGGACCCTCAGTCTGCAGGCTGACACTCTATCCACTGAGCCAAACTGGCTAGGGCTCTTTAAAAAGTTGTCATGAATGTGTGTGGGGATTCCACCTCAAAATGTATTTAAAGGACTTTCCCAAGTTCTGGCAACATAAAATTAATTTTACACTATCTGTTTCTTTAATTCATGGCTACTGGGAGGGGAAATGGCTACTGTAGTTCAGGTTCAAAGGGCAAGCCTTATTTTTTGGTATTAAATCAGAAGTAACTGAACTTGGAAATACTTAAGAAGATACAATGAACAGAACTGGGACAAATATGGCATGTGAGACATATGCTAGAGTTTGGGGAAATATCTATATATTTAAAAGGCTAATATGTGAAGTGTCCCCTCAGGAGTTCGACCGGGAGATCAGGAGTTTGATCACTCGCTATGATGTACACTGGCCACCAGGGGCCAATGCAGAAAAAAAGGCCCTGGCCTGCAGCTGGAAGGCCCTGATTGGCCCTGATCTCTGGCCAGGCGTAAGGATCCTACATGTACACAAATTTTGTGCACCAGGCCTCTAGTAAGAAAATAAAAAGACAAAGTCCCTGTTAATGACATTTACAATCTTATTGAAACATTATTTTATCTAATTATTAGAGACCCAGTGCATGAAAACGTGCCCTGGGGGAGGGAGGAGATTGGGCGTAAGCTGGCAGTCAGACATCCCTCTTGCAGTCTGGGGCTCTTGCAGTCCTGGACCCTTCTCTCCTCACCACCCACCTGCAGCTGAGGCAGGAGAGGCTCCTGCCACCACTGCTGAGCTCACTAGCTGTGAGCCTGGTTTCTGGCTGAGCAGCGCTACCCCTGTGGGAACTCACTGACCACCAGGGGACAGCTCCTGGGTTGAGAATCTTCCCCTTGGTGGTCAGTGTGCTTCATAGCAACCAGTCATTCCACTGTTCAGTAGATTTGCATATTAGGGTTTATTGGATGTATTGGCATAAAAAATAGAAATGCCTTTCAACTAGGATTCCAAATAACTTTGAGATAGTTTTAATTTAAGTTTCATAACCTTTTTAAACTTAATTTTCATCTACTTTTGGGGAAAACAAAAACGATAACTTTCCTAATTTTGATCTGAAAGGCATGAATGAAGATATAAATTTTAAACGTTGTTTGAAATTGTAAGTAAAGTAAAGGACCTCTTCAGCCCAGCTGATGTTGCTCAGTGGTTGAGTGTCAAGCCCCAATGGTTCATTTCTCGTTAGGTCACATGCAGGCTTGACCCCCAGTAGGAGCCATGTGGTGGCAGCAGATGGATGCTGTTTCTCTCTCAGGGATGCTTCTATCTTTCTATCCTTTTCTTTTCCTTTCTCTCTAAAAATCAATAAAAATATTAAAAAGAACCACTTCACAGTTCATGTCAAAGATTCTTCCTACATGGCTTAACCTTCATAAAGATGTCAATTGCTTTGATCCTACAGAAACTAACCCCCAGAACTGACCTGTGAAGACCTCTGGGAGTTAGTCCCATGTCTTACATTTTCTTTGAGTCTCAGTTTCCTTAAACTGATAAAAAAAAATAATACCTACTCTTTTTAAAAAATATATATATATTATTTATTTTTTTTATAGAGAGGAAGGGAGAGGAATAGAAAGTTAGAAACATCGATGGAGAGAAACATCAATCAGTTGCCTCTTGCACCCCCCACCCCCAACTGGGGATGTGCCAGAAACCAAGGTACATGCCCTTGACTGGAATTGAACCTGGGACCCTCAGTCCACAGGCTGATGCTCTATCCACTGAGCCAAACCAATTTTGGCAATACCCACTTTTTATGCTCTCAAAAAAATCTAACATGATAATACATGTAGAAAAATTAGAAACCCTGGCAGAGCCCAAAATCAATTATAAAGCAAATACTTATAAAACTAAATTTCACTTCATAGTGAATTTTTATTTTGTTTTATTCCACACTGATATATTGAATTCTTTAAATGAGAGAATACATTAACTTAAATTATTATGAAAGTTTGCAAGGGAAGGGAATCGTAAAGATGGTAAAATGACTTACATGTGAGTGTAACTGATGGTTTGTTTATAGTCAAAGGCATATCTTTTGTCTTCATATTTTGATATAAAATCTTCTCAATTCTTTTCCTGATGTATTCAGTACTACTAGTAGATGGGTATCGAAACATGAGCACCATAAGAATGTTCACACCATTTTCATCTGGACTAAGGAACAGAAAAGCATATAAATAGAGATAATAATAAAGCTAGCTCTCTAATCATTAATAACTTTTAGGTATTAAGATTCACAATAAATTTAAAGAACACAATGGAGCCGAAACCAGTTTGGCTCAGTGGATACAGCGTTGGTCTGCGGACTGAAAGTTCCCAGGTTCGATTCCGGTCAAGGGCATGTACATTGGTTGAGGGCACATCCCCAGAAGTGGGTGTTCAAGAGGCAGCTGGTCAATGATTCTCTCTCATCGATGTTTCTAGCTCTCTAGTTCTCTAGAAACATTGATGAGAGAGATGTTTCTAAAAAAAAAAAAGAACACAATGGATATGTGTATATCAGATTTTTACATTATTTCTAGAAATACTGGTAAGATGCATAGCTGGATAAAAATTGTTCTCTCCCCTAACTTAACTCATAGTCTGGAAAGGTTGTGGAAGAGGGAGATGTTTACGAAGTCATGCTTAAAATATACTTAAAGAATTTGCTTTTTATGGTGTTTTGAGCCAAAATTGTAACCATCATAATTTTTCAGTAGTGGTGAAAAGAGAATGCTCTGTGCTCACCAAACCCAGATTCCTTGTCTCTTGAACACAGATCTATATTTCGTTTCCTAGCCTCTCTTGCAGTTTATTGGAATTCTCTAGTAAATTCTAGACAATGGAATATGGGCAGAAATGTGCCCCACTTCCTGGCCCAGCCCCTGAAAACCTTTCATACTCTTCCATGCCTTCACTCTTCCTTTATTTGCCAACCAGAAGATTCAGGGGGCAATTCTACCATCCTCTCCAGTACCCCTATCCCCTGCTGCTGCTTCTGACTCTTTGAACTGAATCACCGAAATGAAATAAACCTTTATTGTGTTAAACCATTGGTATTGGGGGGGTAAGGGAGTGGTTGTTAGTCAGTTAATACAAGTTTGATAAGTAGATGATTAGAGGAAGCAGTTATAAAAGGAAATCTTTTGATAGGAGTTTCAAATATATTAACTTGTTAGGTATAGAAAGCCTCTGTTGACTTTGAGAATTAATTTAATTGGAAATAGATAAAGAATAAAGGAAGGAAAGAAGAGAGAGAAGGAGGGAGGAAAAGAAGGAAGGAACAAATATACAGAGGGGGAGAAGAAAAGAAAAGGCATGAGCTCTTTAACCATATGTGGTTACTTTACCATCAAGAATTAAAACAGACACATAAGTATTACAAATACATATATTTATATATCAATTGAAATCCATAGAAAAATTAATAATTTTAATCAGAATGTTAGAAAAGCTATATTATTCTAATAAATGCCAAGCTTTCAGACATAATGTAAGAAGTACATTCAGGATGCATTCTAGTCATTTATTTTAATCTCTGACAAATGTATGTTCAATTATTGGATATTGCCTTTCATCGGAGTATAGAAATGAACACATTGAAAGTTTTTAAAAATAATAAAGGAAATGCAATGGCATTAAAGAAAAACCTTATTGCAGAGAAAGTCATAGGCTGATTGTTGACTAGGCTTAGAATGAGGATAGTCAAAAGAACTGGACAAAGTTCCATTGAGCCCTCACTTAAGGAGCAGGGTATGTTGGCAACACCATCGCTCCTCTTCCTGTATTTTTTTCTCTTGGAGTGTGTCTTTATTTTTAATCCAGTAAGTAACATTGTCTCTTGTCATAAGGCACTCTACATCTAATGTGACTGGGAAGTGGCTGGGAAATGTAAGCTGGGCTGCTCAGGATTTATGACACCTTTGTATCCCGGAACTGAATTTGCTCAGGGGAGTTGAGCAATTGTGCTTGTTCAATGCTTCTTAATTACTGGGTTGAAGTTGCAAACCAAGTTTACCTACCTTATTTTGATAACATGAGATTTGATAAACCGACCTGCTCCAGAAGAACGTCGAAATATCCTAGACATCTGAATAGAAAAAAATTGTAATGCATTAGTCTTAAGAAAACTGTTATTCCTTTTCTTATCTACAGACTGGAGGAAATGATAATGATTTCAGCTTATTCTCAGATATTGAATAGGCTATTTCCAGTGATAAGACTAAATCAGTTTTGAATCTTATAGAATTGAATAACCTCAAAAAAACTATTCAATTTTGCTAAGCATTTGTAGAATGAGATAACACTATCTACCTCAAAGAATTGTTTTGAGGATTAAATGAAGTAATGTATATCACACATTTGACACCTTACCTGGCATATTGTAAACTATTAATAATGTTCATTTTAATTATTGTCAGATGAATTAAAACCTGTGCTATTCTTTAAGACAGCATTTTCATTTCTAAGAAAACCTATCATAAGTTATTCTCACATATGGCATCTAGTCCATTATTGAAATTATTTGGTTGATTTCTTAAATGATTATCTCATTGCTATAGCATTGGATGTAATATGCAAAAACACCTATTGTGTGACTCTGACACCCTTGATGGTTAGTCATCTCTCTGTGACAGGCAGGCTTTCACAACTGGTACTAGGTTTAGCAGTAAGTTTCACCACACGTCACATTGTCAGCATTTTATTACTCAGCTTTTCTGGTCCGGACCATTGAAATATTTGGGATGTTCAGTGAACTGATTTTCTAAAGGGTTCTGATTCCCAAAAGACTAGTAAGGCACTGCCTGAGACAAAAACAAACAAACAAAACAAAACAAAACAAAACAAAAACACTGAACTAAGGGTCAGAAATTACAGGTCCACATATGTTTACATAGGCCATATCCAAGGCAAATCTTGTCCCTTAATTACTATATGCTCTGGGAAGAGGGAATATTACATTCTTCCTCATAAGGTATTTCCCTCTCCCTGAATCCTCTACATTAGTAACAATGCTCAGTAGATTTTACCTCCTAAATATTGATTCTATATCCTTTCCTTCAATCCTACTGCTATGGTCTAAAATCAGCCCCCTTGAAACATGGGCCTTTGCAGCAGTTCCCTCTCTGGCACATTTATGTGGTTCTACTCTATCGTCTCTCCCCACAGTTGTCCCCTTCAATGTTAGCAACTGAGATATCTGTAAAGTGTATATCTGAGTCTGTTACACTCCTGCTTCAAGCCCAGTGTCTCCCTTACTGCGAGCTCCATGATACTGTCCTTTTGTTGGCCCCTGCCCCGTCCCTACCTCTAAAACCCATTCTCTTATCTACTGAATGGCCTGTTCTTTCCTAAACCCACTACATGGGTTCATACCTCTATGACTCTACACATTCATTGTTGTCTTCCTACAATATACTTTTTTTTTTCCTAAGGAAAAAGTCTTCAATGACAATTCTGTCATTCTTTAGACACTCCAGGGACAACTAAGTTTTCTTTGACTTGCCCTCCTGAACCAAAGTGAACATTCCTTTGCTTGGGCCACCTCAACATCTTGATTCTATTACAGCAATTATGTTGGTTTGTAGGTGTGTCTTTCCTACTTGAGACTGTGAGCTGTGCGACAGATGGGAGTGTGTCTGATTCATTTTTGTATCTCTAGCTTTGGCACATCACTTCACAAAATAAACACTCAATGCATGTTTGATGAATAAATCCATGAGTGAGTACATGAGTAAATGAATGAAGAAACAACATTAAAGGGAAGAAGATAATAACACATGGTTTTGTTTCATCAGCAAATCATGGTGCCAAGTGTAAATAGAAATCTATGGGAATCTAAAGTAAGGTGGGAACCAAGAGACCGCAGTGCTGACCTTCACATGGATGGTTATTTCAGAATTTTGAATCAGTTCTCACTTATCTCACTTATGATTTCACTAAGCTGCCCTCAGTTCATTTTATTTCTACTTCTCAAGGAACAGGAAGAAAATCTGATTGTAACATCTCTAGCATTTTTTATAAAGGTCCTCTGAAATTTTGAACTCTGTACATAATGGCACTTTGGGAGATGATCAAGATTCTGTCATATCAGAGTATAAAAAATTACCAAGAATTTCTTCAAACTGCCCCAGCCAGTTTTCTCAGTGGTTAGAGGATCAGCCCATGGGCTGAAGGGTAGCAGTTTCGATTCCAGTCAAGGGCACATACCTCAGTTGCAGGCTCAACCCCTGGGTGGTCCTGGTCGGAGTGTGTGTGGGAAGGAACTAATCAATGTGCCCCTCTCATAGTGATGTTTCTCTCTCTGTGTCTCTCCCCGTGCACTCCAATCTCTCTAAAAATTAATGAAAAAAATATCCTCAGCTGAAACCGGTTTGGCTCAGTGGTAGAGCGTCGGCCTGTGGACTGAAAGGTCCCAGGATCGATTCCAATCAAGGGCATGTACGTTGGTTGTGGGCACATCCCTGGTAGGGGGTGTGCAAGAGGCAGCTGGTCTATGTTTCTCTCTCATTGACGTTTCTAGCTCTCTATTTCTCTCCCTTCCTCTATGTAAAAAATCAATAAAATATATTTTAAAAAATCCTCAGATGAGGATTAAAAAAAAAGAATCTCTTCGAAGTAAAATGTGATATTATCAATATCATAGTTTCTTAAGGTGTCAACCTCTATTTTAAAAATGTGTAGATTCTGATACATTTCAATATTGGTATGACCATTAAGAACAGCTTACATGTATTCACCCTCATACTACCTAGTAGACATGGGACTGCTTCCTTTGTTCAAGCCTCACACCACCTTATGAGTATTTTATTTATCCTCAACAGTCCCATTGCATAGATGAAGAAATGGAGGCTCAGAGCACTTAAGATTACTTGTTCAAGATAGCATAGGAAGCAGTGATTCTGCATTAGTCTGTATACTTTAAACTAATATAATATTAAGTGTCAACTGTAATTGAAAAATGAAAAAAAATACAAACAAAAAGGCACATGTATGTGGAGTAAAAGAAAAACAAGTACATCTGAGGTTGTGACAGTATAGTAGTCAAGCATAGTATCTATTTCTGAAGCTGTCTCTACTATAAGGTAATTTCAGAAACACCATTTAGTGTCTCTGTGCCTAGGTCTCCTCACTTGTAAGAAGGGGAATATATATATATATATATATATATATATATATATATATATATATATATATATAGCAGTTACTTCCTAAAGTTGTTGTCAACTTATAAAGCATGAGGGACAGCAACAACAAAAAGTAGTGCTTCTGGCACATGAACCCAGGGAGTCTGGCTCTAGCTTTTGTATTCTTAAGTCCATTATGGGACATAAACAACCTGTGTTACTTACACACTTGACAGCAGGTGTTCAGGTAGCTGGGGTAGAGAGAGCCCAGGCAGGAAACCCTCAAAGGAGGCCTAAATACATCTTTGATTTCCTGACTCTAAATCTCATAAAATATCTCTTGGGAGGTTTTTCCTTTCTGTTTCTGAGATTAACAAGGCTAAGGAACTGCTCCTCTCCAGATACCTATTATTGTAAGCAATTTCTGGGGATGTTTAATTTGTGTTTAATTTTTCTTAAAAGAACTCACTGATATTATTTTTAGTCCAAATTACAAAAATAATTCTATTCTTCCCTTTTTATGGTCCAAATAATAAAGAACAAGTGACTTTATTTAAAGTCATTCTATTTAAGCCCTAACTTGTTTGGCTCAGTGGATAGAGCAATGGCCTGTGGACTGAAGGACCCCAGGTTCAATTCTAGTCAAGGGCATGTACCTTGGTTTCGATACATCCCCAGTAAGGGTTGTGCAGGAGGCAGCTGATTTATGTTTCTTTCTCATTGATGTTTCTAACTCTCCCTCTCTGTTAAAAATCAATAAAATATATATATATTTTTAAAAGGGTTAAAGTAATTCTATTTAAATAAGAGTGTGTAGAATAGAAAAGTTCTCCTTAAAATCAGATACTAATTATAATCCTTGGTTTGAACTCTAGCATTAAAAAGCAGTATCACATGTTTGAGACAATAGTGTGGCTCTGACTAATAGTGCACCCAGTCTCTGTCTCTGGCAAGATAGAGCTTGTGGCTTCTCCTCTGGCTGGGAACTACATGCACATTAAGTCCTCATGGAAGATCACTAGTTCTGGATGCCAACTAGGGAATTCCTTTCCAGATCCACCTATGAAAATAAGTAAGGCAAATTTTGAATATTTCCTGTTACTGTCATGAAAACATGTACCACCAGAGGGCGAGTATACCAAGGACATTCATTCTGTTTCCCTTTCTTCTCCATGAAAGCTTCCTGCAGCTCAAAGGGATTTTTCCTTCTTCTGAATTTCTAAAATACCAATCTTTTGGGTAAAATATTTAACATCTATATTCTGCACTGTGGCAGCTCTCACACCATCATATCATCTTTTTAGCTCTCATATTATCTAAATTTGTAGTTTGTATTATTTCCATACACAAACTTCCATACATAAATTATATTATAAACTTCAATTAGGAAGGAATTATAATATACAGATCTTGGTATTCCTCATAGCCTTGCACAAAGTAAGTGAACAATAACATTTTCATTAATTGATGAATTCTCTAACCATGGTTAATCTTAAAGAACAGTGTGAAGAAAAAAATCCTGGCTTTGCATCCCTTTGTGACTCTTTCACTATACTATATCTCCTTCCGTTTTACTCATTTATTTATTTGTTATTCAACACAATTGATTAGGAGTCTCCTATATTTAAGGCACTGTGACAATAATGGATAAAGAGTAGTGAGCAAAGATTTGTGGTGCCCAGACTCAGGCTACAGAGTTAAAAGTAATAAAAAGGCAACTAGTATAGTAAAGTCATATAGAATAATGGCTGGGGGAGTGTATAATAGGGCAGATTTCTCCATGGAGGTAGTATTTTTAAATATATTTTTATTGATTTCAGAGAGGAAGAGAGAGGGAGAGAAAAAGAGGTTGAAACATCAATAATGAGAAAGAATCACTAATTAGCTTCCTCCCACATGCCCACAACCTGGGCATGTGCCCTTGACCTGAATCGAACCTGGGACCCTTCGCTCTGAAGGCCGA